AGGACTTTCACATCCCCTTGTCAGCCAGACGGTCCAATGCCCGTTGAAGGATTAAGCAGTCGTTGGTGTCATGGCCAACTTCCTCATGGTATTGGCAGAATTTGTTCTTGTTCCTTGATTGAATGGAACTTTTCATTGGATTCGGCTTCTCTAGGGACAGCCGGTCCTTAATTTCCATGAGGATGGAGTTGCAGTCCTTGTTAAACTCGTACTTAGGGACGTACGGTTTAAACTCTTTATTTTTCTTCTGAACGGCTGGTCAGAGTCATTAACCGCCCAGATTTATTTTATTTTCTTGCTCTCTTCTTTATTTTTTGCCGGCTGTCTTTCTGCTTGTCGGACTTCTTGTAGTTTGACTGGTTACCAAGGGAGCAGAGGTCGGTTACTTGAATGTAGCTTTCCGCCTCCCTCAGGGCCGCCTGTAAAGTGAAAGCCCCTTTTCTGACTAGGTTTAACTTAAAGGTCGACCCGTCTCTCAGACCCTTGAAAAAATCTGTAAAAGATACCTCATCAAACAGTCCTTGAATCTGAATTCTGATCAGATTGAACCGCCGGACATAGGAGCGCAACCCTTCTCTCTCTCCCTGCTTAACGGTGCTCACGTCAAGACTTGTTTTCTTAGCAGGGATGTTCATTGAGAAGTTAGAGCAAACAGGAAGGCGAGCTTCTTGAAACTGTCAACGGACCCGGCTGACAAGTTGCCAAACCATTGTAGGGAAATAACCTTCAATGTAGCCGGGAAGCATCGACACCAAGTGGCATCATCCAACCCCTGTAAGTACATGAGGTTGGTGTATGCCATGAGGTGATCTTCCGGGTTATCTCCCGGGTGAACGCAGAAGGTTGTTCACCCTGACGTAGCAGACGGAGCTGCCAGCCCAGTGGCTAGACATTTTGATATGCCGCCTAACCTCCGAAGAGAGCCGGCTGCATGAAGTGAGGGGGATACTGATCGTAAACCTGAGTAGGTACATACGGTACCGTTCCAATCATCTGAGGGCCAGAACGGACGGTATTGCCACCTGTCTGGCTCTCATGCAGGGAGAGTGCATTCCCTGCAGAGGTGTTGTTGAAGCTGTCAGGAAAGTTTGACGTGGAAGCCGACTCAGACAACTGCTGATTTTTCTTTTGGTTGATGATTTCCCGGCATCTAGAGATGATTTTTTACTTTACACCGGCTGTTGAGTCCGGCGGGTATTATTGGTATTGCTCTTAGGAAGAAGAATTTTGGACCAATCAATGGTCCTGGCTGCCTTCTCCTTTGGATGAGGAGTTGGCTGTCGATCTCTGACTGACTTCCCCTTTTCTAGAGGAGTCTTCTTGGCCGTCTGACCCCTACTTGGGCCAGCCTGGCTCTGACTGATCAGTTCTTTAATTTCACCCTTGAAACTTGTCATGAATCTCATGAGTTCGTCTCGGGTGACATGTGCTGATCCAGCTTCCGTATGGGTTTCCCTTTCCGACTGCCCAGGGGGTCGATTTGTACCCTCCTGGTAGGCACCCCGCTCTAGAGTGTCTCTGGGCCGGATGCGCTTGGTTCTGAGAGAGCCATCATCGGCTGTAAAGGTTTCGACCTTGTGATCTTCATCTTCCTGGTCTGTAAAGACTTCGGGGTCATCGCCCAATCGATTAGGAGGTGGTACAGACTCTTGAACCATCTTCGAGGTACTCTCCCCACAGACGCACCAAATGTTTTGGGTGTTTTTGTCCCTCGGGAGAGTTACAACAGGAAGACTGATCCGGCCTTAGCTGTACCTGCAAAACAAACGGAGACACCGGTTGGGTGGTGCTCCGCCTCCGACAATTGAAGGGAGAGAAAAAGGTGCGGAAATTTAGGTGGGTATCCGCTCGGATTCCAAGCTCAGATATCTCTATCACAGGGACAATTTGTAATAAATGGTAAAACGTCCCCTCCAAAAGAGGGGAATCTCCCTATTTATAGGGTCCTCGGGATTTGTGCCCCTGATTAGGTCACTGAACCCTAATCATTGGTGGGCTGCGCCGCATTGCGGCTTTCTCGGGATTTGGGCCTGAAGGCCGCCATTCCTCCTAGGTTTCTGGAGTGACGTGTCAAGTAAGGATAGGTCCACCTTGGGCCATCCTAGGGATGACACGTGTCATCCTCTGATTGGACCACGTGGCGGGGTAAAATTACCCTAAACAAAAGGCATCATAAAAATCATAATTGACATTATATTCTTTACCCTAAATATGATACTAGGAATTTATTGTTGTCACCCAAAACATCAAATTAAGAAAAAACATCCTAACATGATACTAGGAATCATAATAACAACCTAGACATGATTTCTACATCATAATATCAATTAAACAATTAAAGCACTTACTTGGATGCCTCGTACCTCTTTCTAATAACAAAATACACGCGTTAGTAACTTCAAGGAAAATAATAAACAACAATTAAATTAAATAATTGAAATAGAGATTTGGGACCAAACCCTCATAAATTAAAACCTTTCACGTCTAGGGCGAAGGCAACTTCGAATATGGCTAGGTAGTTCTAAATCTAATGAATGCGGAATTTTGTATATTTGTGAGATAGAGAAAGAAATCAAGAGAATCTTGATGAGAGTTGATGAATTGTAGATGATTGTGGATGATTTTAGGTGAATCAAAACGGAGTTTTTACGACGTTATTTATAAAGAAAATCATCCAAAAAGATAAAATATCAAAACAGAGTTCTGGCGCAGATAAATATTAATTAGCGTTAACGCTGGCTATTGGCGCCAGACGCCAACATTAGCGCCAGGCGCCAATGCTAGCGCCAAGCGCCAGGCGCTACAGCTGGTGTTTGGCGCTGATTCACAAATTCACGCGTTTTCTTTAAGTCAAATAGAAATTGCCGTGTAGGAGGATAAATCGTATTTTTCCTCAAAATGCTCTTTGATTTTAATTAAAACTCTAAAAAGTCAACAAAAGTCAATTTATCAATGCTAATTAAACTAGAAATGAAAAGAACCTTCTAGAAGAATCTAGAAGACTAAAACCATTCCTAATTGCATTAGGAATGATAAATCCATATTAGGCCCTCCCCTAGATCATTGGGCCGCATATAAGGCTCAAACTTGGCCCAGTTCAGTAATTTGGCTATAACTTCCTCAATATTCATCGGAATTGGGCTTATAATATATCGTTGGAAAGGTCTTGTCAAGCCCCATCCAACTACACTCCTAATCGACCCATATTATAGACCAACCAAACTGGATTGGCTTTTTTCTCAAAATAAGTTTTCAAAAACATAGAGAAGAGAAAAGAAATTAAAACTATCCGCAACACTAAACTTTCCACACTTTCACTTCATTCGATTATGATTTGACGCGAAAGGTACTTATCACTGGGTTTGGTTTTGTGGAGACACAAATGGGTGTCTACACACAGGGAGGTGCAAGATTGTTGCTGGTGTTTTTCTAGATATTTTGTTTTCTGTAGCCTGTAGGTGTTCAGTCTCTAATAGAAAGTTACTTGTGTTATAGTTTGCCTTTTTGTTTTTTTGTTTTTAGGTTTCTTTTCCTACAGTTGCTCTAGTCCTGATGTAGGGGTTGTCCTACAATTGAGTGAAGGAGGGGCTTGTTTTGTTATTTCCTATCTTCTTCTTATGGCAACCTTGATAGAAGGTGGCTTGAAGTTTTAGGCAAGGCCTGCTCCCTTCTTCCCTAGTGAAACCTTCTTAGAAGGTGGCACTATGGGATTTAGGGCGAGTTTGGGGGTTGTTTGCATGTCCAAAGGCTTGTGTATTTTGGAGATGCAACTTAGCTTTTGTAAGTTGTAATTCTCACCTTTTGGTAATAATAAAATTTATTTACCAAAAAAATAAAAATTGACTACTTTTGTACACTAATAAAAAATAGTACTAAATTGATTATAATACTGAAATTACCGTGCATTTATGGAACAGGATCTAACCTAGATATATAATGAAACATACGGCACTAGAAGCAAACTTGACACATGTTACTGTCTCATTATATAAATTTCCTTGTCAATGTAGCAGTCGTAGATAAAGCAATTTTAATAAGACAGGCTCTGACATTATTTTATTTCGTACAAAATTTTACAAATAGTTCTTTTTTTTCAAGAAATGATATTTATCTAAATAAGTTACTATCACATTTAGCAACACTATATAATCATATATAATACAATAAACCAATCATATACGATCTTGACATTTTAATTTTGACAAACGGTAAAATGAGGTTTGACTTTCGTTGACTTTCTCTCTTCTTTCTCTTCTCCATGGTTCTTTGATTTTGATCGGTTTCTTCATCAATCTTGATCTCCAATGGCTAAAAAGAAGAAGTAGAACAATTCTACACCTCAATTCTACTTATCCAGTGATAGATACAATTTTTTAAGAATTTGTGAAACTCAGGTTCTACTTTTGTTCCAAGCCCGATTCAGGAGGTAGATGAGCTTGTCACTTCGGCGCTGGAACTGGTCAATCCATCTTGTGGTTCTATTCCCCGGAGTGATGCTGAAACTGTTGCACTATTTGCTGAAGCCATTTCTAGACCAGCATCTTCGATTTCCAATAAAAAAGTACCTAGGGTTTCTAGGTTTACTGTTCCATTGGATGCTCATCGATCTGAACCAACTGTTCTCGATTCTCAATCTATACCTCCCCCGGAACAGAACTTGCACAAGGATGGTGAAAATCGATCTAGCTCATTGTCTGGGAAGTTGACTGCTAAGGGAGCTCCTATGTTCTTTGTTGCCCCGGTGGTTAAAAATGGGAACCAGGTAGCTCAGCTGCAGCATTCCGAACTTATGGAAGGTAATAAGAAATGGTCTAATGCTTTATTTTTCTATGTTGTTGGTCATTATCCTACTATTGCTGCTGTTCATCGTTTTATAGCTCAACAATAGAATGATGTGAAAAAAACCAGAAATTTTTTCGCATGACGATGGGTATTTTATCATTAATTGTTGCTCAGTTAGTGATAAGGATATTATTCTTTGCTCTGGTGCCCATACGTTTATGGGAAAACCAGCAATCATTAAGCCTTGGAGTCCTAAATTTGATTTTGGTGCTGAGATTTTGAGAACTATTCCATTATGGGTTAAGTTCCCAAACTTACCTTTAAATTGTTGGGGTCCTGAAACTCTTAGTCGTATTGGTAGCTTTCTTGGTATACCAATTTGTTCTGATGAATGTACTACAAGACAACTAAAAGTTTCCTTTGCTAGAGTTCTCATAGAAATTGATGTTACCAAGCCATTGCCTAAATCTGTATTTGTGGAAAGCCCCTCGAAGGAAACTCTGGAACTTAAGGTAGTCTATGAATGGACTCCACCCTTTTGCTCTAAGTGCAATAAAGTGGGCCATGACTGTTCTGTCAAAGCTCTAGCAGCTCCAAAGCAATCAATGACTGCAGCTCCCAAGCAGTCAGTAAATGCAGCTCCCAAGCAGTCAGTGACTGCAGCTCCCAAGCAGTCAGTGACTGCAACTCCTAAATCAGTGCAGCAAGTATGGGTTGCTAAGCCTACTACTCCTGTTGTTGATGTTGATGTTGATGCTTCTATTCATGGTCAATCTATTATCACTCCACAGGTTCATACTTCTCAAAACTCAGATGAGGGGTGGAGAATAGTGGGAAGGAATACAAAAAGTCAGCAAACTAGGGTTAATCAGCCTGCTTCTACCTCTAATGCTTTTGTTGCTTTATTTGCAAATGAAATGGATGGTGTAGGTGGTTTCACTATAAATCCAAGCGGGGGTGAGGTTAATCCCCCATTGGTGTCATGATTTACTATATCTGGAATGTCTGGGCCTGAATGACCCTGACAAAGTTGCCTCTGTAAAGAGGTTGCTTCATTCTCATTCAGTTGATGTTATTGGCCTTCTTGAAACAAAAGTCAAATAAAAAATTATTTTCACTTACCAAAAGAAGTTTGGCTCGTCTTGGCTTTGGGTGTACAATTATGATCATCCTCCTAAAGGGAGGATTTGGCTTGGTTGGAATGCAGATAGAGTAACAGTCAATGTCTTAAAGATTCATGAGCAGTTTATACATTGTAGTGTCCTTTCTAAGGATCTTTCTACTCAAATTCATCTCACTGTTATCTATGGGCTTCATTCTATTCATGATAGGCTTCCTATGTGGGAAGGGATTAGGAACATCTATATAAAGCATTATCCATGGCTCTTTGCTGGTGAGTTTAACTCCGTTCTTCATACTTCAGACAGGCTTCATGGTACCGATGTTACTGATTATGAGACTAGAGATTTCCAGAGTTTGGTTGATGATTTGGACCTCATTGAGGTCAAGAGCAAAGGAGCCTTCTACTCTTGGTCAAATAAGGCTCACACTGGTCCTAGAAGTCTATCTAAGATTGATAGAGTCTTTGGTAACCAAGCTTGGCTGGCCTCTCATGGTCATGTTGAAACTGTCCTGATTTCCTTGATACCGTTTCTCAGGCTTGGTGTTCTGGTGGTTCTGTCTGGCAAAAGCTTAATTCTGTGAAGTCTAGTATCAAGTCTCTTAATAGCAAGCAGTTTGGCAATATTTCTGAGATGATTGATCAAGCTAATGTTGAGCTTGCTGGAATTCAGAACTTAATGGCTCAGAATCCTGATGATTTGGATTTATATGTAAAAGAATCTGATGCTATTAAGGTTGTCAAACACTAGAATGATATTCAAGAAAGAATCTTCAAACAAAAGTCTAGGATCAACTGGATTAATCTTGGAGATGGCAATTCCCATTATTTTTTCTTAGTGATGAAGAATAGACAAGCAAGGAACATAATTGACTCCATCTTTGACTCTAACCAAGTTTTTCTTAAGGATCCGGATGCTATTTTTCATGAGATTATTTCTTTCTATAAGTCTCTTTTAGGGACTAAGGCTCCTTGGCTTCCTGTTGTTGATCTTGTTACTATTAGGAGAGGTAAACAGCTTAGCTCTATTTCTCAGAGCTATCTCATTCAGCGTGTCTCTCATGCTGAAATTGTTGCTGCCCTTAAGGGAATTGATAGCACTAAAGCTCCTGGTATTGATAGCTTTAACTCCTTTTTCTTTAAGAGAGCTTGGCACATTGTGAAAGATGATATTTATGCAAGTGGTATTGATTTCTTTACTAAAGGGACCTTGCCTAAGCAATGGAATTGCACCACTATCACTCTTGTTCCTAAAATCCCTAATGCTTCCCATTTTTAGGATTTTAGACCTATAACTTATTGCATTGTGGTTTATAAGCTTATTTCTAAGGTCATAACTGCTAGACTTGCTGCTATCATTGGTAAGGTCATTGATGATGCTCAAGCAGGTTTTATTCCAGGCAAGCACATTGGTGACAATATCCTTCTTGCAACTGAGTTGATCAAAGTCTATGATCACAAATTTATTTCACCTAGATGCATGGTTAAGGTGGATCTGAAGAAAGCCTATGATTCAGTTGAGTGGGGATTCTTGATTACTGTTATGCAGGAGCTTGGTTTTCCTCAAAGGTTTATTACCTGGATCTTGACCTGTCTTACTTCTATCTCTTATTCTATTCTTATCAATGGTTTCCCTGCCCCTTCCTTTGAAGCTAAGAAAGGTTTAAGGAAAGGTGATCCTATGTCTCCTTTTATTTTTGCTATAGGCATGGAATACCTTTCCAGATGCCTTGATGAGCTTAGGTTAACTCCTGATTTTAACTTTCATCCTAGATGTGAAAAGTTAAACCTAACTCATATGATGTTTGCTGATGATCTGTTGATGTTTTCTAGAGCTGATAGTGTTTCTGTCAATCTTCTCTTCCAAGCTTTCTTAAAATTTTCTGGTGCTTCTGGTCTTTCTGCTAATCTTGATAAAAGTGAAGTCTACTTTGGAGGAGTTTCTATTGATGTTCAGGCAGAACTTAAAGATCTTCTTGGTGTTTCTCAAGGTTCTATTCCTTTTAGATATCTTGGGATCCCTCTCTCTTCTAAGAAGCTTATAATTGCTCAATGTAGGCCTTTGGTGGAGAAAGTGACTGCTAGAATTCAAGGGTGGATGGCTAAACACTTGTCCTATGCTAGGAGGCTCCAGTTGGTTAAGAGTGTGTTGTTTGTTTTTCTAACATATTGGTCTCAAATCTTTATCTTACCAAAGAAGATTCTGAAAGAGATAGAGGCTAGATTCAGATGCTTTCTTTGGACTGGCTCCTCTACTACTGCTAGGAAATCTTTGGTTGCATGGAATTATGTTTGTCTTCCTAAAGTCTGTGGTGGTTGGAACTTTCCTTTTCTCCCGGAGTGGAATAAGGCACCTGTCACTAAGTTACTTTGGGATATTGCTCACAAGGCTGATAATCTTTGGGTTAAGTGGGCCCATATTTATTATTTCAAGCATAACGATTGTTGGACCACTCCTATACTTGCTAAATGCGCCTAGTTTTTGAAGAAAATCCTAAGTTGTAGAGATATTGTGAATGATCAAGGGGGATGGGATGGTTTCATACAAGGCAATAAGATGAAAATCAAGAAACTTTATGTTGCTATTAGGCCTCAAGTCCCTAAGGTTCCTTGGAAGAGGGTCATTTTCCATAACTTGGCAACTCCTAAAAGTGTGTTTATCTTGTGGCTAGTTTTGTGGGATAGGATTGTCACTAATGATAGGTTGCTACAATGGCACATCTCTTGTGATCCAAGGTGTTTCTTTTGCTTGAATAGTAATGAAAGTGTTCAACACTTATTCTTTGATTGTGAGTACTCTAGACAGGTTTGGAACAAGGTTTTGAGTATTTTACATGCATGTCTCCAAGCCTGTTCAGCAGTTTGATGATGAGATTGAATGCTTGAAGAAAATCTGCAGAAGTTCCAGAATGAAAAACAAAGTGATCCAAGTTGCCTTCACTGAAACATTCTATGGTATTTGGATACAGAGAAATGCAGTTTTGTTTACTGGTTGTTGCAAGCCTGTTGATGTTCTAGTTAAGGATATTATCTTTCATTCAGCTTCTAGAATCCTTGTTGGAAGCAAGTACTTGATTGTGTAATTTTCTACTTAGTTGGTTTTGCAGGCAGCTGCAGGTTTGCTGTTGTTCTGTTCTGATTTTAGGTTGTTGTTGCTGTTTTGAAGTATGCAGCAGCTTGGGTTTCTGTTTGCTGCAGCCTGGTTTGCATGGAGCTATTCCTGTTCCGCAGCTGCTCTGTTCTAGCAGTCTGTTCTGATGCAGCAACTGCTGTTCTGGTCTGCTGCTGCTATTTCCGTTTGCTGCTGCTATTCTGATCTGCTGCTGTTGTTGCTGGTTTGCTGTTGCTACTGTTTCTCTATTCTGCTGTCTGTCAGCAAGTCTGCTGCAGCTTAGGTGCTGGTTTTGTGTTGTTGTTTTGGCAGCTTGTGATTTAGTGTCCTTCTCTTTTCTTTTTAGCTGCTTTAGCTTCTTTATTTTCCTGTATAGGGTGGTTTTAGTGCTTTAAGCTACTATTTTTGCCTATTTTTGTGTGCTGCTTTTGTCTTAGGTGTTCTTGTCTGGTCTTGGCTCTCAGAACCCTTCCTAGAAGGTGGCTGTGAGCTTCAGTCCAGTAGTTGTCCTTGTTTCACTCAAGCACCCTTCCTAGAAGGTGGTTTGGGTAGATTCTTGGACTGTTGGTGGTGGTTTGGCCTTTTTGGTCTGTGGTGTTTGGTGTTGTTACAGCTTAACTTCTTGTAAGTTTGTAACTTTCTTATTTTGGCAATAAAATTCTTATTTTCCAAAAAAAAAAACCCAATCATATACAAAGTATGTACTAAATTTATTTAAAGTACAAAGTTGGCAAATTTTATTTTTGTCATTATGTAATCATTTGAATTTTCTTTCTTCAATACTTGTTTCAATAAAAATATTTGAATGTTATGTACATTAATAAGAATAAATTTATTTATCTTGATCTCTAACACATATACAATATACAAATATAAATATAAATGTCCATACTACATTCCTTTCTAACAAAACTTCAAAACACTAGAAGCAAACTAAAGTACTAAACAAATATTATCTCATTAAAAAAAAAAATATCACCTAGCATAGTTTGATCTAGTGGTATGTTTTATCACAACCATGAGGTTGTTGGTTCAAACCCCACTAGAGACACTTTAGCATGGGGTGAGATTTCCCCTATCTCCCCCCCCCCCCGATCCTAAAGTGTCTATCTTACTAACCCAGGCTGAGAAGACTTGTGATAGGTCCGGACCCATTAGGGCCCTTCTCTCTACCAATAAAAAAAATTAAAAAAAAAATCCCGCTCATTTTCCCAATCATATACAGTATAAAGCAATTTCAATAAAGAGAAATTGAAACTAATAATCCCACCTATTCCTCTTTTGCTCAAACAATCCCACCTCTAAATAATGTGGAAATAATCCAACATTTACCTATCATCTGCACAAATTTTTTTATATTATATATTTCTTAAATCTCTCCCTCTACCTTTTACCTCCCACCATCAATGGAAGACCGGGCCTCCATTACCACCACCACCAGAGCCCCACCAAAAACCCCCATGTCCCAACCCTACCCCTCTCACTTGACAACCGTACCCCACCTAACCCCTAAAACTGGCCAGCCAACCACCACTAAACCCCTAAAATTGACCACCCCAGAAATGTGGTGAGTTTGATCCAATTGGTGAGTTTTATTTTTTTATTTTTCTTAAAAAATAAAAAAATGTATTATCTTATTATTAACATAATTTGGCATTTTCTTATAATTTAATAACTTGGCTGGCCCATTACTATATAGTAATTGGATCAAACTCAGCATTCAAATTATATAAGCCAACTACAACTAAATTGTTTCTAAGGACAATTTGTAATGATTCCTCGAAGGAACCGGAAAAGAAGAGATTTAAGGGCTACTTGATATCTTGACTATGCACACCGCTCCATAGGCTTGACTCACATCTCCCTCCACCAACTTATGACTCAACCACAAAGGTCAAAAGGTCTTGAAAAGAGTTATAATGTAAGGGCAAAAAGGATAAAGGTAGGCTAAAATTTAAAATTTGGTTGTATACCTAAATTGTGAAGCAAAGGGTGATAAATCTTCAACACCATAATCAAGCATTCACCAAACAAAAACCCCAAACACCCCCAAGCTTGTTCAAAGCCAAAATCAAGCATACAAAAAGCGTAAGAACGCTTCCCCCCAAGATAAAATGAAGCATTTTTCTCCATGTTTAATATAAGGAGAAATATACTTACATCAAACTATTTTTGAACTTTTTTCATTTTTAACAATTTTTTCACTTTTGCCAAAGAATTTGAATTTGCTTTGCTTTTTCTCTTTTTTCTTTCATTTTGGAAAATGGAAGGAGGGTGTTCCCGTCATAGGGGATCCTTCTCCTGAAATGCCCATGGCCCTTTAAAAGCCTAGGACTTTACACTTGTTATGGTGTATTAGGATTTCAATTCCTAACTGTTTGGGGGACCTTGAATTAGAAATGATCCTCTCATCACGCTTGTTTTTGTAAGAATCAATTAGGAGTCGCCAAGGAGTTTTAGGAAAACTCATAAACCTCGTTTATCCTTTCTCCCAAGTAGAGTTCAAGGGATAATTAGCACGAATCATAAGTTTACCCATGCCCAAATTGGTCTACACAAACCAGAAATGAGATCGACAACGGGGGTACTAAGATAACGTTCCCTTTAGAGGGGAATCACTATCGTAGCCCTAGTACGACCTCCGCTAGCTCTTCCTTTTTTAATAATTTAATCACCAAACAATATATGCAACGTGGTACCTAAAACTAAGTTAGTTGATTTTATTTACAAGTCTTAATCTCGTAGGAATTACATTGCAAAAGTCATTATTCTTTGTTTAATCAAATTCGTGAAATGAAAAAGAAATAAAAAATGTTTGCCTTGACTTAGGTGATAAAACAATAAATTAATTATCACTACAACAAATCAGCACTTGTGCCACAAATTATGCCACATAAATTCCAAATTCGTAGCATAACTTCACCTAGCCACGGGTAAAATGAACTATGATACAAAACCTTAATTGGAAGAATAATTTATGGCACGGGTATTTAATTTCCTGTGGAAAAAATCACACATGTGCCACGAGTACCGCTTCTCCCGTGGCCAACTTAAAATTTGTGACACGATTAGCTCTTTTCCCGTGGCAAACTTTACATTTGTGCCATGGATAGTTTATTTTCGTGACAAACTTTACACTAGTGTCACATGTAATAATGAAGACCGGTGCCTAAAATGTAGTATTAAATTAAAAACAGGATTAAGATAAAATAGAGGCATTGTTTGGTGGTAACATTTTATGTAACTTTCTGGTTATCACTTGGTCCAAGTCAAAACACTAGTAAAAAAAAATGTGTTTGGTAGTGGTTAGTGGTAGAGGTAGCGTTTATATAGCTTTTGTCAAACGTTAACAACAGTAGTGTTTGAGAGGTAGCAGATAGCTTTAATTTTGAAAAATTTTGTTTACTTTTTAAATATTATGCATGTATTTTTACTGTATATAAACATTTAACTCGCTATTATTGCCAAAAACTCGTACTACTAAACGTAATATTATTAGCTAATCTCTACCCACTACTTATTGAAAATTACTCGCTACTTTAATAATTACCCGCTACCCGACTGCTAAAAGCTACTCCTACCCTTGGTTTTTCCAAACATGACCCAAGCAAAAGTCAGTTCCCAAAAAACTCAAAGCTACGGAATAAATTAAAATGGTGCTTTAATTATTTTTTTTGGTTTAATTTTTCAACTCCTTCTTCTCGCATCTCAAAATTCATTCTTACCCCCAATACTACCCAGTTAACCCACCTGTGCTTCATCTCTCCTATCAAAATTTTCCAGGTTCCCAACGATTCCATCTTTCTCGTCTTTCTTAGCTTCACTCTTACCCCGTTCTCCATTGCCTCTAGAAATTCATTCGTTTATTCAAAATCTTGTTGGCATGGGGTGGATTGATGGTGGTGGGGTGTCGGTGGTTTTTAGGGTTCTAATCTGAAACTCATGAAGCGGTTCCTCACCTCCACGACTTTCTATATTCACGGCTTTCAACATATCATCCTCCACCGCCGTCTGCAAGTCTTGGATTCAATTTTTGCAATTAATACGGCGGAATTTGAATGAAATTTCCTCAAGATCAAAATTTTCTAGGTTATGTATCTTTGCGTTTCAATTATTTTTGTTGAATGCTTTGATATCTTGAGTTTAATTAATGTAATATTTAGTACTCTCTCCGTTTCAATATGATAGTCCCATATGGAATCAATCACATAAAATTAGAAAAGGATAATATTTGGAATCTAACATTAAATTAAAAAACAATTTATAAATAGTTTTGCCTTATTTAATTTTTTTGATTTTTTTTAATGAAAGTTTTAGTCATATTTGCATAAATAAGGGGAGTAACTTCTTTACTTAGAGTCATGTCATTAATTCACAATCAATTAATATAACCCATCAGAATTTAATATGAATAAAATAGGAAATAAAAACTAAATTAAAAGTGGAATACATTCAAAATGAGTATATCTTTTTAAAACGCCCAAAATAATATATGGGACTAACAAATTGAAACAGAGAGTTGTTTAATTTGGATGAACTTATTTCCCCAAACCCCCCCTCTATTTTTGTTCTCTTATCGATTAATTAGGTGAAACAACTCCTGAATTTTTTTTATTCTCTATTAAATAGCAACCTTTTTGTTTCATTATGCATGATTTGTGTTTATTTTTTTTCAAGTTTTATTTGATTTTAATTTAATTGTTATTTGATTCCTATTTTTTTTTACTGTTGACAATTGAACTTGCAATTTTTTAAAAGGTAAATCTTCCTTTTTTTTCTTTAATTGGGTTAATTTTTCTGAAGTACTTGCTCAATTCAATATGGGTTAATTTGATCAATTATATTTGTTGAAGTTATGTTGGATTGATGGCCTGACAACTTTGTCTTAATTTGTTTATGTTTCATGAATGGGAAAGAAGGTAATGCTCACTGTTGTGATGAGTTCATGACAGATGATTATTTTATGTGAAGCAAGATATTGTATGGAATATAATATGACTATGTGAGGGTCGTACGATGAAGGTTTTTTTATATAGAGGGGGGCTTCTATGTTACTATTTTCAGTGGTCTTGTGTGATTAGGTACAATTATCTGCTTGTCATTTATGTCATTTTTGCAACCCTTTTTTTTCTATTGATTAAATAAAGCCTAACATGACATTTTCTCCCTATTTTTATCACCTGTTCCTTCTTGTATCTTAGTCTTATTCTATCACTCTTTGCTTAGCATAAATTTTTCTATAGTTGGTTTTAATGAGTTATTTTTATAGGTAACTTGGTAAAAATTTTGATTTGTTCATTAGTGTTTAGTTGCTCATGGTTCCAATGCAATTTTAGGTTTCCACGTGTGAGTGATAGTTCCACTAGCGAGATACTACATTTAATCTTTTTAATTATACTCTCATCTATGTTCTTCCTTTTTTTTTATTATTATTATTTTTATCGTAATGAAATCTTAGTATAACTAGTATAATGTAGGTTAAAATATAGTGTAATTACTCTATATTAATCAAAGGGGTGGGGCGGGGGGAGATGAAGGGATTAAACTTGAGTTACCTAAGTTAAGGAGTTGAGATTAGCTAATAAAGTATCTGGTTTAGGATTTAATTTTATATTGGCAAAATTGGCCTCAACACTCTGAACTTTGGCTTGGGTGCACTCAGCACCCCGAACTAAGAAAAATAGCCAAAACACCCTGAAGTATTACCATGGGTGCACTTAGCACCATACAAGAAATTTTTCGGCCAAAAGTGGCCGGATTCCGACGACTTTTATTTTTAATAATTTATTTTTTTTAATAAAAAATGTTTTTTTTAATAAAAAATGTTTTTTGTCTTATTATTATTATTACTATTACTATTACTACTAAAATACCTTGATTTGCGTGTTGTTATTTTTTTGATGGAAATTGTTCAGGAACAGTTTCGGGTGTCATTTTTTCTCTTATTGGATCCAAATTTAGCTCAAATTTTGCAAAAAAAAAACGGAAACACCTCGTTTTGCGTTTCGAGAAATATCTAAGTAGCTAAGGCACGCAAATCGAGATATTTCTTGACACGTAAAACGAGGTATTTTTTTTGCAACTCTCGAGCTGAATTTGGACCCTATAAAAGAAAAAATGACCCCGAAACCAATACGCAAATTGAGATATTGCTTGACACGCAAAACGAGGTATTTCCATTATTTTTTTGCGAATTCCGATCTTAATTTGGAATCATTAAGGGTAAAAATGATCCGCGGAACCTTACCCGAACAATTTCCGTAAAAAAATATATAACAACACGCAAATCGAGGTATTTTTGTAATAATAATAATAATAACAATAATAATATTATATAATAATAATAATGATAATAATAATAATAATAATAATTATTATAATAATAATAATAATAATAATAATAATAATAACAATAAGAAAATAAATAAACATTTTTTTATTAAAAAAAAAAAGTCGCCGGAATCCGACCACTTTTGGCCGGAAATTTTCTTGTATGGTGCTAAGTGCACCCATGCTAATACTTCGGGGTGTTTTGGCTATTTTTCTTAGTTTAGGGTGCTGAGTGCACCCAAGCCAAAGTTCAGAGTATTGAGGCCAATTTTACCTTTTTTATTTAGATAAACAAAGGGTTTTTGCTTGTGAACTAAATAGTACGTAGTTTAAGACTTGTTTGGTGCAAGGATGACATCCATTTATATAACCTACAACTCTACAAGCAATTGGTGCTGCAATTAAAAATGCATCTATTTATCTTGCTTTTAGAATTATTTATTACTAGGGTCCTAGTTAAGTAGTTTTGCTTATTATTTCCTTATTATGAGCTTTTTTTTTTTTCTTAATATTAAGTCCTGTGTTCGGTATCTTTAGTAGGTTGTTGTTACATTTGTACTTGTAGTCAAAATTACATTATACATAGTATGACCAAGTCCCAACCATGCTATATCAATCTCTTTTTGCTTCTGCAGATTTGTTTGGATTTGTTAACATTTCTTTTGTACACAGATTTGCTACTATTTATGATTTTGGGAAAATTAGTGGTTGACTTTCAAAATCACATTGCATGTATAATTCCCTTAGTTGGCTCACTGAGATAATGTTGAAAAAAAAGTGCTTGGGTTATCTAGGACTTGGTACTGCCATATTAATTCCACCTTCAGATTTTCTTTTTTTTTTTAAAAAAAAAAAAATTATGATATAGTTTGCGACAAGTTATATTATGTATACTGATTGTTTTTCTATTATTATTAGACACCTTGGACTGAAATGTTCAAAAAGGTTTAGCTAGTTAGTGTGCGTGAACTATGTCATTTCTAATTAATTTCTTTTTTATTTAAATTTTTTTTAGTCACTTCAACCTTATTGAAAAAGGAAGGGGGAAATGCACTATTTATAGAAGTTGAGCTCTATAGAAGAATTTGGCCTACTTTTTCTAGGTTAGATTTTACTCGCACTTATCCTTATCTTATAAACTTGAACAGTGCCTTCAGACTAGCATGCTGATCATTTTTGGTCTTTATTTGAAATGTTTATCGAGTATCATGCAATAGTTACTCCTATATTGCATATCATTAGACAAGGTGATATTTGTATGTTTGTGTTGTGCTCGACATTGTTGCTAGGCTTGCTACTATTCAGATAAATTGATATTAGCCAAATAAACCCTTAATGTTAATCTTTATATTTTTTTACCTTGACGGTAACTACAGTTAGGTAAATGAGTAAGAAAAAAGAGAAGAAGAGGAGAAGCTTGCGTCAAGTTGCCAGGCTCATGGTTAAGTAATTGGATTTTTTTTAATTGTGGTGATGGGGAATTAATCTTGGTTCTGTTTTGTTGTTATTTTACAATTTTTCGAGTCTGAATGCAAGTTGTTTATATTGTAAACATAATCTGGTTTGTGTGACTATGTTTGTGAGTGTATGTGTGGATGTAATTTCTTGTGGATGTTGTTGCACATTATTGTTGCTGCATGCTGCTGCGGCTAACTACTGTCACATGATGCTGCTGCTGCTGACTGATGTTACATGATGCTATTGGTGCATTGATGAGTGTCATTTATGGCACTCATTTGGTTCTTTTTAGGGTGAATTTCATGTTATTCTATAGCTCTTTTACTTAGCTTTTCCTTGATTTTATTCTTTATTTCTTTTAGTTTGCATTTTCTTAGTTGGATTTCTTTCTTTACGCATTTCTTGGTTTATTTTGTTATTTTCTCTTTTATTTGCTTGTTTTCCCTTATTTTTCAGGTTAAGGTCATTATCCAAGTTTCCCGAGGCCTCTTCCCAAGTTCAGCATTGATTAGAAAGTCTAGTGTTCTCCATTTGAAGATCAAGCATGGAGAAGTGCAAGTTCCTAAAGTCCTTGAGCTATGAATTCAAGCCGTGGGGGCATGATTTCTAGTCTTGAACCTGTAAACATGGAGTTTAGAAAATGCAAAGTCCCGTTTTTATCAAGAGCATTAAGTGAAACGCACGAGGAGCATCGGAATGATAGGGAAGAAGGATGCCCTACTCCCAAGCGCGAGCGCGCGCAACTATGGCGCGGCTGCGCGGCCAGGTGGAGCGGGCGCGCCTGTCTGGGTCCCTATTTTGTTCCCAGATTTGCGTGATCGCGCTCTCCCTTATAGTTGGCCGCGCCTGTATAGGTTTATTTGGGGACGATCTAACTAAATTCTCTTAGTTTTACTATATAGATTTTCTTTCTATTTTTAAAAGAGGAGAATTAGAGAAAATTAGAGAATTAATTTAGAAATTAGAATTAGAATTTTAGGGAGAGAAACTGTAGATGGTAGAGAGAGAGGTTCTTGATTGTTGATTGATGATTGAATATTGTTAATTCTAGCATTTTCTCCATTGAATTAAAGCAATTTTGTAAGGATTTCTTTTACTTTAATGCAATTTTTAGCTTATCATTTCAATAGCTTCGTTGATTGTTCAAGTTTGAATTGAATTTGTTATTGAATTAGTTATATTGATATGATGATGATGAAATTGTTGATTAGCTTAGTTTTGATCATAAAATCAATAGATTGTAAGTAACTCTCTTACTAGGGGAATGGTGAAGCATGTATGAGTGATGGATTGATGCTAATTGGGGGAAACTGATGGAGTTGATGTTGTGATTAAATTGGTTGATTGATTAAGTGCATGTGTGTGATTAATTGAAGAGTAGCTAACTTTGATTGTTACATTAGAATGCATTGTATGCTTGCATTGATACAGAAAATTGATTTGTGGCTTACTTTTGTCGATTGAGTTGGTTTGCATGGTTCCTAATTAGAGTCTCTCGTAGTTGGCGCTAGCTTGACCCCTAGGAGATTAGCTTACCTTACTTTCTTGATTGCTTAGTTCATTTTTCCTCGCAACACTTGACTTAGTCATCTTCAATCCCAATTAGCTATATCCATTCCGAGTACATGCGGATCCTTTAAATTTGATTTGATTTCGATTGTTTGATTGTTTTGGATACACACACCTCACTTTATTGCTTCGAAATAGCTTAGCTTTGACTTTAGCATTCACTTCCCACTCCTAGTGGTTCGACCCTCGACTTACTCTATGCTTTGTATAGGGGTGTGTTGAGAGATTATAAATTTTGTTTTGACCAAGGGTAGATTAGTTTTCAACGACCTATTCTCTCCCTAGATAAAGAATGGCGCCGTTGCCGGGGAGTGGCGTAGATGATTGCTATTGTTGTTGAGACTATTTCACTTAATCTCAAAAATACAAAAAGAATTTTCTCTTTAGGCTACATTTGTAGCCGTGCTATTGATATTTTCTTTGAGTTTTTGTATGCGTAGTATAAGAGGAAGGACTTTAGTGCCATTTGATCCGGAAATCGAGAGAACAATAACAAGGATAAGGGTTGCTAATCGTTCTTTGAGTCCAAGCTCTCCAAGAGAAGAAATTCACCAAGAAAGAGAAGAGGAGGACCAAGTAAGCATGGGAGATAATCCAAGAGTAGCTTTGAAGGAGTTGGGAACTCCTGGTGCATATAGGTTTGAAAGTGGGATTGCATTTCCAACAACATCGGCAAATGGATTTGAAATAAGACCGGCCATGATCACTTTGATCGAAAGGAGACAATTTAGTGGGGCTAAGGCTGAGAGTCTGCTAAACCATCTCAAAGAGTTCGAGAAGTATTGCAACACTATTAAAGTGAATGGTGTTTCTCAAGAGTTTATTCGGCTCAAGTTGTTCCCCTTCTCTCTCATAGGTTGAGCTTTGGAATGGTTAGACAAGGAGGTCAAGCCAAATTCTGTTAGAACATGGGATGAAGTTACCAAGGAATTCTTGTCTAGGTTCTACCTCCAAAAGAAAACGGCGGAGGCAAGGGCTTTGATCCAAAGTTTCAAGCAAAAACCTAGTGAGAGCTTGTATGAAGCTTAGGAAAGGTATAAGGAGTATCAAAGAGAATGTCCCCATCATGGCATCCCAACCTATCAAATCATTCAAATTTTCTATGGAGGGTTGAGTCCTCAAGGATAATCGTGTCTTGATGCGGGAGCTGTAGGCCCAATCATGAACAAAACCGAAGACGAGGTTGTGGACATTATAAAAGATATGGTGCGCCACTATATGGATTGTCAAGAAGGAGAAAGAGAGTCTTCAAGCAAGAATGGATCAACGGTTTATTCGGTCGATCACCTTAATGCCATCAACAATCTATCCTCTCAAATTGCAAGTTTGGGGAAGGAGATGACAACAATGAAGGCCAAGCTTGAGAGTGCAACTTCCAATGCACAAGGTCATCCCTCCAACATTAAAGGGAGAGGTACATCTTCTAACTCTACTCCTCCTTCTACTTCTAACAATATGTCCAATGGATGTTTGTTTTGTGATAATTGTGGGTCTTATGACCATGATGCTTCTACTTGTTTAAATGGGTTTGAAAATCTTAATGATGGTGAGAGTAGTGAATGTGAACATGTGAATTTTGTCTCAAACAATAACAATAGTCAAAGGTTTGATGGATCAACAAACTTTTGATATAGAAATTCTCACCAACAAGGTGGATTTGATAACTATAACAATGGTAATTATATGAACCAAGGAAACCAAAATTTCCGAGGCAACTATAATAACCAAGGTTATAGCAATCAAAACCAAGGCCAAGATTATGGAAATCAAAGCCAATTTCAAGGCTTTGGTGGCAAAAACCAAAATTTTGGCAAAAATGAAAATCGAGGCAATTGTAACAATCAAAATAGGGGGAATTTTTAAAACAACCAAAGGGGACCCCCACTCGGATTTGGTCCTAAATCTCATGGTGTTGGTGAAAATTCCTATACTCAATCGTCCAAGTCCAATTTAGAGGAGATAATTGAAATTCAAACAAAAATCTTGAATACCTATATGGCGGTAAGCGATAAGAAATTTAATGAGATCATGAAAAAATAACAAAATGCTTGAGACACAAATCACCCAACTAGCAAACACTTTGAAAGATTATGCTAGTCCTTCTTGATTGCCTTCTCAACAAGTTGATCCTAAGAAGCCCGTTTAGTCCATCACCACAAGGAGTGGAAGAGTTCTTGAAGAGAGAATTTCTAGGGATTATGAGGAGGACAAGACGAAGAGTGTTTCAAGTGAGAAAAAAGAGAAAGATGTGTCAAGAGATGTGAGCACAGAAGAGAGCCATGAGAAGAAGAAGAGTGATGAGAAAAAGCAAGAGGAAGTGAGAAAACCCGACCTTCCATATCCCCAAATGTTTATGAGGAACAAACTAGATGAACAATTTGGGAAATTTCTTGAAATGTTGAAGGAGGTCCATCTTTTTATCCCTCTTACCGAAGGCATGACCCAAATACCTAGATATTCCAAGTTCCTTAAGGATATCTTGAGTGGTAAGAGATATTGTAATGAGATAGGTTCGTTAGAGCTTGGTGAGTGTTGTAGTGCTTTGATTCACACTGACCTCCCCAAGAAGATGAAAGATCCGGATTATTTCTCCATTCCTTGCAAAATCAAGAGTAAGTTGTTTGAGAATTCTTTGTGTGATTTGGGTGCTAGTGTGAGCATAATGCCCTTCTCGGTCTTCAAGAAGCTAAATCTAGGGGAACTTCTTCCTACCAACATGAATTTGCAATTGGCCGATAGGTCCATCAAGTTTCCAAAGGGAAGAGTTGAGGATGTTCCCCTTAAGATAGGTGGTTTTACAATTCCCGTTGATTTCATTGTGCTTGAAATAGAAGAAAATGACCACATTCCTATTATCTTAGGGAGACCGTTCTTATCTACTTCGAGAGCTTTGATTTATGTTAAGGGAGGTCATATTACCTTGAGAGTTGGTAACAAGAAAAAGAGCTTTGAGCTAAAACCAATGCATGAGTCCTTATCCCTTGTGAAAGGAATCAAGAGTGATGATGTCCTTCGTTCTTTATATAATGTGTATGTGATTGACTCTTCATGTAACAATAATGTTCATGATATTTTTGATGATGTGCTTGTGAGTTTTAATTGCATGAAAGTTAGTGAAGATAAGAAGGAGCTTTCTAAGGCTATGAACGAAGAGGAGATTGACATTCCTCATTGGTTTGATCTTTACCCTCGAGAGGTAGAGGAGGATTCAATGGATGTAGATGGTGTGAAACCGTCTACAAAAAGAAACAAAGTCAAGAAGAAAGAAAGAGCTTAGAGGAAGAAGAGAATGAGATAGAAATTGAGAAATGAAAAGATTGTTTTTTATGTGCAAGCAAGTGAAGTCTTGTCAAGAAACAATGAGAGGTTGCTTAAAAATGAAAGAGAAGTTGTTCTATCCGCTACCTTGGACAAGATGGTGTTCTTGGACCCTCCGTGATTCGGAGGAAGGGTCGAGCTTAGGACCTTAAGCAAGCGCTTCCCGAGAGGTAACTCGGAAATTTCGAACCTTTTCTTTGGATTTCTATTTTTCTTAATTTTCTTTCTGTTAGTTTCTTTTCTTTTCTTTCACTTGTTTTTATTTTGGATTTATAGGTTGAATTCTTGGAGTCGGATTACATCAAGTGGGAACAAGCAATGGAATGGTGTTTCGCGGTTTTTGATGTGTTTATATTCACTTTTATCGATATTTTGAGGTAAAAAGGGTAAGAATTGTTAGTATGATAAGAAAGGAAATTTGTGCTTAAGTTTGAAGAAATTGGAACTTGGTGAGTTCATCGTGGTGCTACCATTATTTAGGGTGTTGAACCCACATTATTCAAATTTAGAAACTGATTGTTATGATGGGGTCAAAAATCCCGGAATGATAGTTATCGATGTGCCCACGCATGAATGCACCAAGGAGAAGGGATTGAGGAGCAGCAGCTGGCGCAAGCGCACAACACTGGCTCGGACGCGCTGTCAGGTCGCGCGGTTGCGCACCCCCTCAGCCGTGCCTTATTCTTTCTTCTTTCTTTTCCCTCATTTCCCCTTCACCCTCATTATTCATGCACAATTTCCCCTTCACCCTCATCCGCACGCACCATATCCCTACTCCCATTCATCAAATTTCACTCAAATTCCTCCAAATTTCCATTACAATTCATCAATTCCTCTTACAATTCTTCCATTTTTAACAAAATTATACTACATTTCACCCATAACAACCACCATTCTTTCTCCTCCATTGCTGAAGCTAATTTGGGTATTTTCGTGTTGGTGGAAATTAGTGGCTAAAGATTTCTCTAACTTGCTTCTTGCATGTTTTAGTTAGTTTATTGGTATGAATGGTAGTAGTATGTATTTTGGTGGTTTTGATGTTTGAAATTGGATTTTGGTTGGTTGTTTGTGATGTATAATGATTGATTATTGCTTACATTGTGTTGTTTGTTGTATGTGTAGCTTGATTGGTCGTTATTGTTGAGAATTTTTGTAGTCGGATTTTTGGTAGTAGTGCTTCGTTGATTATGTTGAGCT